TGTGTGTGTGTGTGTGTGTGTGTGTGTGTGTGTGTGTGTGTGTGTGTGTGTGTGTGTGTGGTGGGGGACATAGGCCTCGTCTCAGAGAAGATGCTGCTGTTCCTGCTGTTTTGTTCCCCCGCAGAGTGCTAAAATTGCTCAAATTAACTTATTATTTGCTTGACTGGGCCAATATGTTTGTGTTCTGCGTGCGTGCATGTGTGTGCATGTGTGTGCATGTGTGTGCATGTGGTAGCTCTCCTCTATTTTTTTTCCTCCCTTATTTTAATCGAATGTAGTGGAGTTATCACAGATGAATGTCCAAGAAATTACCTGCACTGGGTCTCCCAAAGAGCCTTTTGTACGGTAACTGCTGACAATTGAGTGAGTGAAGTTAAGTTGTTTCTGGTGTTCATTAGATTCTCAGTGTACTGTGTGAGTTTCCTTACACACTGGTCTTTGTATGTACGTATATATAGTTGCCAGTGTTCATGTGTGGAAATGTGCTCGAGTGTGTGTGTGTGTGTGTGTGTGTTGGAGCACGGAGGTCAGCGTGGAGGCAGTTTGAGTTGTAATGAACTATATTGATTTTAGAGCTGCTGTTGAATGTCTTTTTCGCAGCGACATTATCAGAACAGAGAAACTATATAAAATTGCTGCAGTTTTAACAATCAAGATAAAGGAATATCTCTGCACCCACGGTTTTCTGCAGCTCCCCCCACCACCACGCACACACACACACACACACACACCACCTCCCCATAACTGCGCTGCCGCGAGCGTCAAAATGCTCAAAGTTTGGGAAAGTTTGATTGTGAAGCCAATTACCCCATAATACCTGGAGCCTCGTATCACAAAGAACAGGGGGGAATGAAAGAGAAGAAAAAGATTGAAAGAAGCACACCCTCTTACAATTTTCATTATGACCGTTTTTTTTTTTTCTTTTTATGTCAAGAAGTACTTTCTTGGAATTTAAGATTACAAAGGCATTATTCATTGTTCCTTTTTTCATCATAAAAAAGCTCAATTTAAAGTCTTTTGTGTTTGTCGCTCGTGTAGACTTTTCCTATTTATTTTGTTTTGTGTTTTACACGCAGGATTTCTCTCCTTTTAATGTGGTTGCCTGGCATGGAAACTACACGCCGTACAAATACAACCTGAAGAACTTCATGGTCATCAACTGCGTGGCCTTCGACCATGCGGTACGTCCGTTTTTACCTTTTTATACAGATTTACCCTTGAATAAAAGAGGAATATGACCTTAAAGTGGCAGTCTGATGCGTTTTAGTGATGTTCTGGCAAATATTTATGAATATTTAGCACCATGTCAGTCACAAAAACAAACCATGACAAAAAGGGCAGAAGTGTTCCTCCATGCTAAGCTAATAGCGAGCCAAAGAGGACCTGTTTTATACTATTTTTTGTGTATTTTCCAGGCACATTCTTTAATTACTTTGTTACTTTCATCTATGAAAAAAAAGCTGTATTTATCAAAAATCAGTCTCTTTAAGAACCTCCTGCCATTTCAGACACTACCACTTCAGTACGTCTTCACAGCAATGCTTCGGGGGAGGGGTGCTCTGTGGGGCGGGAGCTCGGCTGCAGACTGATCTCCAGGGAGGAGCTTAGTGTAAATGGGYGGTGCTTTGTACCAGCAAGCGTTTAGGCAGCTCCACGTGGCTACAGGAGGTTCAAGGATTCCTCAAACAGGCACGAATGAGTCAAAGCTGTTTTTGGTGGGGGAACGACATGCTAAAAAAAATAGTTGATTTTACATAACCCCTCCCCTTTAAAACAAACATATTCGTTCAACCCATTGGTGCCCAATTCTGGTGCTCGAGGGCCATTATCCTGCAAGTTTCAGTAGTTTTCCTGCTCCTCAGCGGGTCTTCAAGTTCTGCAAAAGCCTGTTAATCACCCAATGGTTCAAATCAGGTGTCGAAACATCCAAAACATGCAGGATAGTGGCCTTCGAACAACAGGATTAAAAATCACCCGTCTTTTCTGTAGAAAGACTTTTTCTTAATTTCTTCAACTGACAAAATATTAAATAATGGTAACAATTTGACAGAACAACACAATAAAAATCACCAGACCATCCCTTTAAACTTCAGATTTTTTTAAGTGGGAGACATGGGAAACAGTTATTTCTGTGTGTAATAAGATTAAAAGGCAATAATTGAGACGACGTAACATAAAACTGTCATAAAATAGATATTTTACCATAATTGGAAACTAAGTAAAAAGGACTATAATAAATATATGTATTTAGTAACAATTTGGAATAAATAAACAAAAGCTAAAAGCGGCAAAGTGCAAAAGCCTGATTTAGAAACAGCAGATCACAGATTGGATGTGAGCAGCGTTAGTGTTTGAGTGAGGAGCAGTTTGACAGTCGAACTTTGGAGAAATACACCTTTACACAGAGGTTTATGGTTCATATAGTGTTTACATGAACTGCTGTAAAAACAATTGGGATTAGAGCTGATTTAAAATGACCAAATCTRSTTTTCTCTGCTCCGACTGTTTAAACTCATCAATCTGGACAGGGTGAACTCTGCTCCTCCAGGCCGAGGTTGTTCAAAGAGCTCCAACCACCTGTAGGGGGAGGGCGAAACAAGGAGGAGTTTTGGTATTTATCCGATGCCAAAAATTACAGATTCTAATAATTTCATGATTTAGTTGACTGTGATAAAACACAGGACAAAACATATTTTTTTTGTATTAGCTACAACAATMTAAAACAATGTAACCATAGAGAAATGATAAAACTGTTATTTTATTAGTTATTTAAAAGAATAAAATCACTTTTGAATAAAAATTTGCAACAATGTAACAAAAGTAAACGAGGAAGAACGAGGCAGAAGGTGGGTTTCGGCTAACTCCAAACTATTTGCAGACTTTGAATTTATTTTTCCACTTTATTTGTGTAAAGTAAAGTCAGTAGTGCAAATAAAATGCAAACAAAAGRATCAATCTCATCACACTAGTATTGATACGACACTTATTTTTGTATCAGTAGTTTGGATACTTAGATCGTTCTCCCTTATTTAAACGTTTAATCTTTCCTTTAGGATCCATCTATTTTCACTGTGCTGACGGCCAAATCCACAAGACCTGGTGTGGCCGTTGCCGACTTCGTCATTTTCCCTCCAAGGTGGGGTGTGGCCGACCACACCTTCCGCCCACCGTATTACCACCGTAAGGACACATTAACACACTCACAAGTTTGTATTTCTATCCTTATTAGGACCGTTCATTGACTTCCATTCATTTCCAGTCATTTCTACAGCCTAACCCTGATCATTAAAACTAACCTAAACTCAATTAACACCTTAGTCCTAAACCAAACCCCTGACCCACAATGGAGTTCCACTATATTAGGACCAGTCTTTGGTCCCCATTAGGACTACTGGTCCTAACGAGGTAGGTGCGTGTATACCAAAAACGATCCTAAAAAGGTAACAAAAACAAGTACACAAACACACACGTATGTTCTTGAACCCCGTGGGGACCTTCCATAGACTTCCATTCATGTTATTTTGGACTTTATATCCTAACTCTGACCATTTACCCTAAAACTAACCTCACAGGTTCCTACCTGACCCTAAAATTAACCTAAACCTCGGTCCTAAACCTAACCCCACACCTGTTATTTGCGTTTGGACCCGTGGGGACCTGGCATCGATCCCCACGATTCACTTCAGTCCCCACGAGGCTGCTTTTTGTGGGAAAACTGTCCCCACATTGTAGGAAAAACCCATACACACACACACACACACACGCACACACACACACACACACAATGTACTCTTTTATTTTACTGTTTTAGCACAATCAACCCGCATTCAGTAGCTTTTATAGTCTAAGATGATGGGGGAGAAAAATAATGATTCAGCATATTTTAATAATCTAGCATTGAGATCCATATAGTTTAAATTAAAAGTTGTAGCTGGAATTGAAATATCAGTTTGGATGAATAATATGACGTGTCCTTCTAACTGTCAGTGTCCAAACCGTAGCAGAGAATAATGCACCTGCTGTAAAACTCATGTCCCATCAGAGGGTCTTTTGTCTGGTTTGGTCTCAGACCTGTGAGCCGTTCAGTGGGAAGCTGTTCCTGACACAGTGCTGTGTTTTAGCGCCTCCTGCTGGTCGTTTCAGGTAACTGCATGAGCGAGTTCATGGGCCTGATCAAAGGTCATTATGAAGCTAAAGAGGAGGGTTTCCTGCCAGGAGGAGCCAGCCTGCACAGCATCATGACCCCCCACGGTCCAGACATGGACTGCTTCGAGAAGAACAGCGCCGCCGAGCTCAAACCTGAGCGTGTGGCTGAAGGAACCATGG